TTTAAACTAATTTAAGCAAATTTATAAATAGTTAGAGTTAGGTGAGAGTAATAGTTTAAATTAGAATTAGATTAAGATTAGGGTAAAGTTTTTTTATATTATAATCTTATAATATTTTTATATTGTCTAGTTATACTAAAGAAGATCCTTTTTTTTATTTAAATCTTGACAAAAAGACTATTTTATAATTTATTTGCAACAAAAAATAAAAACTAAAAAAATCAAAATATAAAAAAAAAAGTAAAAAAAAAAAACTATATAAAAAAACTAAAATATAAAAGATGAAGATAAAAAAAAAACAAAAAAAAGAGGTCAAAATCTAACTAATATATACAGAAAGTGCACTATTTTTATCTATACTAGATTTAAAAAATTATATAATATTAAATAAAAGATTCTTATTTCAACTTTATCTTTATATTATAATATATCTAATTATTTTGTAAAAAAATAATCTAAATTTTTATTATATTTTTTAAAGATTTATAATACATGTGTCATTTATTGTTAGCTATATATTTATTATATATTTTTATTAAAATTTTAAATTTTTCTAAATTTTGTATATATAATTTTTTATTACAAATTTTTTATATTATATTATATTCTACTACAGTATAAATAAATACCATTTTCTTTATTATACTTTTTTAAATATCAGAATAGCAGAAATAGCTTGGTTAAAGATCTCGTTGCAATTTTCAAAGATGTTATGATTTGTTCTGGCTTAGTTTTGGTTCAAAATAACCGGTTTAGGTAGCAGACCGCGGACTAGACCAAGGTTCATAAACTATTCTACTAAACTAATTCTAATTCAGTCTGGTTCAAGACCGGTCAGCTTTAATCAATAGAAAAGCAAATTTTAAAATGGTTCAGGCTCTAAGAAAATATATAATGAATAAACCAGAACTACCTTGTGAAAAGATTTGATCTACATATGCAAACAGAATCTCATATAACAGATAAGTTCATCGATCCATGATTCAATTTTAGTTGAAAATTGAAAAATCATTGTTAATATCAGGTAATCTGACATAAAATTTTTTTCAAATTTGCTAAGAAAATCGTTAAAACAGATCTTTGAATGTAAATGATATCACATGTGCTCAAGAATAAATATAGGTTTATTTCATTGAGTTATGTTATCACATATATTTGGTAGACCGACTTATCGTTATTAAGATCGGTCTTAATTTATGGACTAGAGACCACCTAAGCCGGTTTAAAGATTGATTCTGACGTAACATCCCTAGCAATTTTCGCTAATCTGACATTTAAAAAGTGGGATAGAGGGAATGGTGCTTATTTACGATAGAATACGATAAATGCGTGGTTTACCAACATTTACCCGACAACTACTTCCGTATAATCATTTTCATTTCCCGACAACCATTCCTCGACATGGCCAGCCATTTCCTAATAGACGTGATCGCTGGGGAAGTCATGTCGGGGAAATGTTTGTCGAGGAAATGTTTGGCGTGGAAGTGTTTGTCGTGGAAATAATTGTTGCCGGGTAAATTACGGTAAAACTAAATGCGGTTTAGTAAAAAAGTTTACTTTTTTTTAAACCCTATACAGAATTACTTAAAAAGTTTTTGTTTGCAAATTTACAAATTTAAGAAATTTAAAGATCTTTGATTAATAATAATTTTTTTTTGTACAACTTTAATTGAAGCACAAAGTTGTTTATATATACTTTCGAAGCTCATCCCAGAAATTTAGAAACAATTACCCCGGATAGTTCCGAACAACATGCCTTAATCCCATGTCTCAGTCCCATGTGCAACAATGCCCCTAACTATTTGTTTTCTATTTGTCAATGGAAGTTCGAACAAAACTTTGAACTTGTTGCACGAAAAAAATATTAACGGTAATAACTTTAAAATTTTATTACAGTATTATCGATATGATAATTTAAATTTAATTAATTAAATTAAAAATTTTCAGGATCTAAATTACATACGGTATAACTATGAACACTTATAGTGTAAACATGTTTTGACAATCTGGAAATTGGATGTTGAACAAACCAAAAAAGATCTTTGGAAACGAAAGTGTACAACACTGCCTCTAACAAAATGATAATATCCTCCTGCAATCTGCATCAAAAAGACAGCCAAGGCAAATTCACGTTTCACCCTTTTGTAAATAAAGCACCACTATAGCGCATCCCTAAGTGCATCCCTAAGTGCATCCCTAAGTGTCTTATCTATGTACCACCATGTCGCAATATTGTTATACTGAAGTACTACCGATCGTTAACCAGTAAAATTAATTCAAGTTAGCGCCATAAAAATTTTTGTTAATACTAACGTTAACGAAAATTTTTAATCAAATAAATAAGGTTAGTATAATAAATTTGATTAACGAAATATTAGATTATAACGAAACCAAAATTAACAATTTGAAGCAAAGTTAAAAGATTATCAAGTTAAAAATACCAGGTAATTAGTAGGTAACTAGACGAAAAAGAAGAGAAATTTAGAATCTAGACATAAATATTTTCATAATTTCAATAACAAATAGTGTCATATATTGTTTTAAATAATAATTTAAAAGGTTTAGTGTTAACGTTAAATTTTTTTTGTACTAATTTTGTGTTTAATTAAAAAAAATAAAATAAAAAAAAAGAAAATATATAACAAATATATACAAAACTGTTAATAAAATCTGAATGTAAATATTCGATATTATGTAATGATATACAAGTTACATATATATATGTAAATGAATTATAAAAGTAATATTATTAATATTTATATAAGGATTAGTCTAAACGTTAAAATCCAATAAAAATGGAATTTATAATTAGCAAAAGAATGATCATTTGTATTTCTTTTCTTTTTTTTGAAATGTTATTTACGCTCTTGGCAATATAAATATGAATGCAGATGAAGTTTATTTTCAGTTATATAAATTTTATTGAGCACAGTAATTAATTATTGCATTATTATTATTATTTTATTAATATATTTTTAAGACGAGATAAGATTTGAAATTTTGAAAATTAGTTAACGATGATACCAACCCAATGATAAGATGAAGTACAGTGGAAGTTTATAAAGGAATTAGAAGATCTTTTAAAATAACAAATTCAAGTTCATTGTTAACGTTAAACTAATTTTTCACAAGAACATAAACTTGTTAGGTTGAAAAAAAAAAAAAAATAAAAAAATTAGCAAGATAATTATTGGTTTACGTTATTATGCATGGAATTCTAGTGTTAGTACTTTTAACTAAATTAACTAGTACAATAATATGTTCAAATTAGGAATTGTTTCATTAATTTATTTATATGGTTAGCATTTATAGTGAGAATGATAACTAACACACCGAGTGGACTGTGCCGAACTTAAAAGCTTAATATAGAACCGGATTTTTCATAACGTGAGAAAATTATCCACTATTGGGAGCTAGAACAAGCCGCAGAAATCTACGAGAAATATTAACAGGATATATTAACAGGATATATTAACAGGATATATTAACGGGATATATTAACAGGATATATTAACAGGATATATTAGCAGGATATATATTAGCAGGATATATTAACGGGATATATTAACAGGATCGTGGGAAAGAGGCTTAATACTATAAACGAGTAGGGATTTAATCTTTGAACAATTTTCCTTTTTTCCTACTAATATATATAAAAATGGCTAGTAATTACTTTGATAGAAATGGACTGCACAGGCTAGTATATTATAAGTACCATCTCGTGTGATCCTCGTTTAAAAAGAGAATTTTGGAGTAAAATCCGGTACTTCATTGTACAGACAATTGTGGCCTATTGATTGTTGAAAAAAATTATTTTTAGATTATTTTTAGATTTTAAAGAAATTGATGAAAGACAAATTTAAATTTATCTTCTAGGTATGGCTATGGACTAATCGCCACAAACTAATATGCTTCACCTTGTCTACTTTGTCTGTAAATTATATCCGTAAGTCAAGTCAATCAAAATACGTATACCATTAATGGGCATTGATTTTGATATAATTTTCTTTTGAATTATAAAGAGTAAATAATCGTAAATAATCGGCGAATTATCTGTTACTAATCTGCAAAATATCAAAAATCGTCAAACCCGTCAGGGGAAAAAAAAATTGAGTCAAATTAATCATCACAGATCAGGGACGAAAATTTAAATTAGCTCCTTTTAATAGTAAATATAGAAAACCTTGTACCATTCTAAAGAAAAATACTCTCGATCCGATTTAGAACACTCTTTATCTAAAACTTTTCTTTTATCTAAAAAAAAAAAAATAAATTAAATTAAAAATAAAGTAATTTATTTAAAATTAAAAGAATAGAAAAATAGTGAAAAAATGCATATTTGCAATTCAAATATAATAGATACTGTACAAAAAAAAAAATTTTTTTTTTACGAACGTACGTACGTAGTCACGGCATCGTGCGTCAGTTAAAAATGACATTCTGCTAATCTCCGGGAATTTGGATTATGCTTACATATGCTATTAATATACCACATGGCTCTTTGCATCACTCTACGCCACTCCTTATACAGGGTTACGTATATTAACATAATATTATTGTATCTATTTTAAATCTAAATGATACTATTTAAAACTTATTAAAGTGTATTTGTCGTTTTTGGTAAAATCTGCCATTTTTGTCGTTTGTTAGCGAGTACTATTTTTAACTTGAGTGATTCGTTTAACAATTTTGGAAACACATGTTGCACCATTGCTTATACGGCATTAAAATTCAGCCTGCAAGATAAATAAATTAGCATTCCTGTCCATTTTTTTTTTTAACTTTTTTTCAAAATAAACAAAAAGCTTTAAATTCATTTATAATAATTAAAAAGACCTATAAATACCATTAATAAGAAGTATTTCTCGTACGTACCTTTTTTCCTACGAAATAGAGAATATATAGAAGAATTTGAAAATAAAAAATAAAAAAATAATAATAATAAAAAAAAAAAAAACCTGTTGAACACTTTATTTACATTAAACAAATAAGAATAAATAATGAGCTCAGAGTTTGGAAGTCACCTTGGCTCGGAGAAAGGTTCTTGTTATCGTAAAAGGCGTCTATCAAAAATACCTGCTCCTGTTATCATTCCTCCTCCTTCACCAACCGTGACTATTTCTTCACCTGCTAGTCCTGCTAGTGATTCTTATCTAGAATTACAAGCTCAAAAAACTCCTCAAAGTCCGTCAAAGAGATTCGTTTTAAGACCTATCACAGCTCTTACCGCTGCTTTTCAGAGAACTAGTATTTCTGCTCGTAATAAGTCTACTTTATTAAAATTTCAAAAATCAAATAATTCAAAACCTACCTCTCCAAAACCTTCTCCACAATCTCCTAAACCTCCAAAATCTCCAAAATTATTACATCGAAAAGGAAGTAGCGGTTCGATTCGTAAGCGCTCTGAGAGCCCTACTAGTTCTACCGCTAATGCTACTTTTATCGTTTCCAATGCTTCTCAACCTTCTCCAACTACCACTAAACCTTCTTCTTTCCTTTTCGGTAAATCCCCTTTCTCTTTATCAATAAATTCTCCTTCTCAATCTTCAAAACCTCCTTCAAGATTAGGAAAGTTTAATATTAGGCATCAAAAATCTTCTACTAATTGTAGAAAAGCTTTACCAATTACTCCTCCTGAGTTGGCTGAAAGATTAAGAGATTCTTCGTCACGTAACTCAAATATTGATGATGAATGCTCCCAATATTTTGATGATTATAATAAATCTTATAAATCATCTAAACCTATTCTCATCGATGTACGTAATTTATGTTTGTATCAAGAACAACATATTCGTGATTCTTTCAATGTAAATCTTCCTACCCTTCTTATTAAACGTTATCGTCGTGGAAATATGAACAACTTTTCTTTGGTTTCTTTCATAACAACTCCTGAAGGACGTGATAAATATATCGATAAAGTTCAAGATGATGCTTCTAATTTTAATCATGATGTGATAATCTTTGATGGGACAATGGATGAAAATGATAAAGTTAGTCCTGGTTGGACTTTATTAGGTGTTTTGGAACGCGCTATGTTAAATTATCATTATAATTCTTCTTCTGAGAACATTGATCAAAATAATGATACTCCTAAAGGACGCGTTTATTGGCTTCGAGGTGGTTTTGAAGCTTTTCGAGCATGGGATCAACAAGGTGAATTCTTAGTCACGAGACCTGATGTTGATGCTTTTTCGGATAATGATAATCCTTCTTTAATGGATTTTGAAGGTCAAGATCAATCAAAAAGTGGTGCTGGATTAGTTCGCAGAGATTCTTTGTTTTCTGTTAATACTGAACAAAATTCTTTAAGGAGGAAATTAAGTGATAAACAACATAATTCTCAAATTGAAGAAAATATACAATCTGTAGAAATGCCTATTCCAAAAGATACTGAAGCTCTTAAAAAAAGACGTCCTTCTAACGGTCTACAGTATCTTTTCCCACCAACAAATGGTGATAAAAGATTATGTAAGCATTTTATTAAATATATTCAACTATATCAACTATATTAAGTATATTAAATATATTTAAGTATATTAAATATATTTAAGTATATTAAATATATTTAAGCATATTTAAGCATATTAAGTATATTAAATATATTAAGTATTGTAAAATTTCTAAATTTTAATATTTTAACATTTTAGGCGAACCTTTATATTTGGGTAATAATTATCCTAATAACGGAGATAATTATCCTACCAGTGCTAATAATCAATTAAGCGCAGTAAATACAAATCTAAACAGTAATAATCTAGATTCTCCTAATACTTCACCACCAGTTACACATCCAGAAATTTCTTTCGTTGTTTCGACCATTATTCCTGACTTTCTTTATCTTGGTCCGGAAATTTCAAAACAAGAAGAAATGGAAGAAATAGAAGCAAAAGGAATTAAACGAATTTTGAATATGGCTTTCGAATGTACTGATACTTTGGGCTTAAATGAAAAATTTGATCAATACCTCAAGTTAAATGTCAAGGATTCCGTTGAGGAAGACGTAGAAAATGGATTAAAAAGGGCTGTTGCATTTATTGGTTCGTATATAATTAAAATTTTCATTGCTTTTTACATATTATAAATTTAATAATGTAATACTAATTTTTTTTTTTTTATTACGTTTAATAGAAAAAGCTGAAAAAGACAAAATGCCTATATATGTTCATTGTAAAGCTGGAAAATCGCGTTCCGTGACTGCCGTTCTAGCTTTCCTTATCAAATCACGTCATTGGACCTTAAATCAAGCATACGATTACGTTATGAATCGTAGAAGTGGTATTTGTCCAAACATTGGATTTGTAGCAGAACTAATGAAAGTTGAAGAATGTGTCCTTGGCGTAAAGAAGAATAATTGTGCGAGTCCCGAACTTGATCTTCTAAAACGAGAAATGGAAGGTGTCGAAACAAAATCTACTTTTCCTTGAAGGAAGATATTAGAAAAAAAAAGAAGGCTGTGGATACTAAATTCATCATTTCTTTGTAATATATACACACTGCATCTGTCGAAATAACTAGTTTTTGGTATTCACAAGCATTTTATTGATAATGAGTACGGAAAGGTCGGATCAAAAATTTCTGACGACAAAATATCTTGCAATTTTTATTTATTAAAGGTGGATAAATATCTGGTTTCCTTTTTGTGCATCTGATTATAACGCATTGACAAAAAAAAAAAAAAAAAAAAAACTTTCTTTGTAAATAGTTTTTATACTTTGGTTCTGAAAAAAAAAAAATTTTTTTTGAAAATTATAAAAAACTTTTTCTTTATAAAATATTTGAAACTTTAGTTTTTTGTATATACAAGTTTTTTAGTTTGAGTGATTGAGCGTGTCGAAAGCGTTTCTATTTTCTTGAGATTAAAGAAATTGATGAAAGACAAATTTAAATTTATCTTCTAGGTATGGCTATGGACTAATCGCCACAAACTAATATG